GAAACGGGTGGATCACGAGGTCAGGAGATCGAGACCATCCTGGCTAACACGGTGAACCCCGTCTCTACTAAAAAAATACAAAAAAATAGCCGGGCAGTGTGGTGGCGCCTGTAGTCTCAGCTACTCGGGAGGCTGAGGCAGGAGAATGGCGTGAACCCGGGGGCAGAGCTTGCAGTGAGCCGAGATCGCGCCTGCAGCTCCAGCCTGGGGCACAACTCCTGACCTTATGATCCACCCACCTCGGCCTCCCAAAATGCTGGGATTACAAACATAAGCCACCACGCCTGGCCTGTCACAAATTTTTTTGTCTTGGGCAACAGAACTGAGGATGAGAGGAAGAAGAAAACAGTTAAGAAGCTATTCCTTTTCATCTGAAAGTTCTTATGCACTTCTTTGTAACCACGTGCATATGTTACTTTTTTCTTTTTTGTTGTGTTGTTTTGTTTTGAATGTGTGGTCTGAGTGCTTGCTTTTGAGTCAGGGGGCTTGACAGTTCTTCAAACTGAAAACTAAGAGTGGCAGATCTGGTTCTGGTATAACACACGCTAGAATTTTGCTATTTCATTGTTTTCTCTCAGGCACCGTTTTCGACGGCTGCTGTTCATTCATCCATTCAGCACATACTTGTTCAGGGGCTTTTATGTGCCAGGCACTATGCTAAGGTCCTGAAGATGTCCTTCAAACAGCCAGCCAAAATTTGGAACATGTTTTGTGCCAGCTACATAGAGTGTGTTTTTGTTAAAGACTTCTGTTACTGTGGGCCTTTGTTCTTGTTGCTAGTCAATCTTGGGATGATCTAATAGCATGTAGCTTTCTTTGCAACAGAGCTGGACCCAGAACATTCCATTCTGGACTCCAGGGTCCTGCACATGTGAAATAGAGATAGGACTGACTTTGAGCACTGCGATAAGTAATTCTCTTCCGTTAATAGCACTTTCCTGGAGCTATGCCCTTAGAAAATGTCACACCAAAGGGTCCCGTGGACACTTTGCTGCAGAAATTATTTGATTTAAATAAATTCAATTTAAAATCGTGTATTGAGTGCCTACTACTTATAAGCATGGGGTAGGAATGGGAGATGAGCCAAAGATGAAAATAACCCAGACCCTGAAGCTCATCCTTTTTTGAGAGTCTTACATCTTCCTAAAGACTGATCCAGATACATCTCTTTTAAAAATATTTTATAGTTCTCATTGGCTTTCAGATTTTTTTCATTAAAAAAAAAAAAAAAAACCCACTGCATTTTAACTGAGTACCAGACACTGTGCTAGAGGTTGGTTATACCATTTCAGAAAATTACATTATTGATGGCAATGGTGTTGGTAGTATTTGAGTCACCTGCACAACATGCATGTATCAATCAGAATCTGCAGCTGTAACAGTCATGATTTTGCTATGTATAGTTGCTAGCAACTGACTACTGCTCTATTTATTTATTTATTTATTTATTGAGACAGAGTCTCGCTCTGTAGCCCAGGCTGGAGTGCAGTGGCACAATCTCGGCTCACTGCAACCTCCGCCTCCTGGGCTCAAGCCATCCTCCCATGTCAGCTTCCTGTGTTGCTGGGACTACAGGTGCATGCCACCACACCTGGAGAATTTTTGTATTTTTTGCAGAGATGGTGTTTCGCCATGTTACCCAGGCTGGTCTTGAACTCCTGAGCTCGAGTGATCTGCTTGCCTTGACCTTCCAAAGTGCTGGGATTACAGGCGTGAGCCACTGTGCAATTATGTATTGAAATAGTATCTATAATAACCTTTTTATGTCTTCTGTTGGTATTACAGTTAGCGCAGACAATAATTGATTTTCTTGTTTTTTTTTTTTTTTTGAGACGGAGTCTCCTGATGCTCCCAGGTGGATGTGCCCAGTGGCGTGATCCGGGCTCACTGCAAGCGTCCGTCTCCGGGTTCACGCCATGGCCTATTCGTCCCAGCCCTCAGCCTCCAAGTTAGCTGAGCAGCTACAGGCGCCCGCCACCACGCCCGCTAGGTTTTTTTTGTTTTTTTTTTGCTGTAGTTTTTTAGTAGAGACGGGTTATCACCATGTTAGCCAGGATAGTCTCGATCTCCTGACCTGTGATCCACCCGCCGTCTGGCCTCCCAAAGGCTGGTGGAGCATTACTACAAGAGAGCTTGAGGCCGAGCCGCGCTCCGGCCTGATTTTCTTAACTATATTATGTGGTGTTATAGATGGCGTGTGTGACGCCTTGCTCACGCCGTAATCCGCGACACTGTGGAGCCGAGGCAGGAGATCACGAGTCAGGAAGAGAGAGGCCATCCCTGGGCAAAGCGGTGGAAAACCCTGCTTACTAAAAATACAAAAAATGAGCGGGCTCAATGTCGCTGCCTGTAGTCCAGCGCTTGCTAGGGAGGCGTGAGCGCCAGGAGGGGGAATGGTGGTGAACGCGGGGAAGCAGCAGAGCTTGCAGTGAGCGGGAGATCGCTCGCCAGCTGAACTCCAGCCTGGGCGACAGAGCGAGATCCAGAGAGTCAAAAAAAAAAAAAAAAAGATGTAGTACTATGATGTGTGGTGTGTGCTGGGTGGTGTGTGTGTGTGTGTGAAGTTAGTTTGACTGTATTATCTATGGATCTCATTTAATAATAGTACAGAGGAGATTACAAAAAGAACTACTAGCCTACTCAAATACATCTGAATGACTGATCTGGCAATTATTGCCATCAGTGTGAAACCGCAGGCTTATTCTTATTTGGTACAGCTCAGATCAGACCAAGTTGCTTTACTTCGTATTCCCAATATTGGAGCCAAGCATCTTCCACTCCCACAGCCCCATCTCAGGTCATCTTGTTCTATAACTATAGGACTCTGTCACCTTTGACACATCTAATTGACCTAAGGGAGTCTATTCATTTTCTGTCCAATTGCCCAAGACAGTTGTTGCGGACAGGCCCAGTGGGTCGCACTTGTAATCCCAGCACTTTGGGAGGCCAAGGCAGGCGGATCAACTGAGGTCAGAAGTTCAAGACCAGCCTGGCCAAAACCTGATGAAACCCTGTCTCTACTAAAAATACAAAAATTTAGCCGGGCATGGTGGTGGGTGCCTGTAATCCCAGCCACTCAGGAGGCTAAAGTAGGCAGGAGAATCACTTGAACCTGGGAAGCAGACGCTGCAGTGAGCCAAGATAGTGCCATTGCACTCTAGCCTGGACAACAGAGCGAGACTCCATCTCTAAATAAATAAATAAATGGAAAAAAAAAAGAAGTCCAAAGAGACCAAGATGGAAGTTATAGCTTTAAATTCAAGCTTTCTGTTTCCCAAGTGAGTATAGCAAATCCTACTTTTACCATTTGTTCCCAGATTCGTGTATTCTAACCATTTTGAATACATATCAGCATTAGTTCAGCACATAAATATATCATGGAGGACAGTACCGGAAACCCACAGGGGATGATCTCCAACCTAATGGCTATGGTGAACCTTTAATAGGCCACTCCAATTCTGTTAGCAATAGCTTTAGATGATGGGGAATGTACCATCTTGGCTAACCCGGTGAAACCCCGTCTCTACTAAAAAAATACAAAAAACTAGCCGGGC